AAACAAGCCCGTGTCCGAAAATCAGTGACAGACAGCGCAAAAAGACAGCACAAACTTGCAGAATGTAAACGAGACGATGCTCACCGCCTTTTTTTCATTGCACTTTTCCCTCTTAAGCCTGTAAGCGCTCCGTGCTGGATTTGTTGACACTGCCCACTGTACCTCTCCGCTGCTCGCCTTTTGCACCTCCCGCTCAAAAACTCTGCCATAAATGCAAAAAATATCCGTCACCTTCAAACTTTCACTAACGGTCTCTAACTAAGACACCCCTCTAGTTTTCAGCAAATTGTTATTTTATTCTCTCGCATATGTCCGTCTTACCTTGGCAAAACGGAACGCTGATTGTGCAGTTTTTTTACAGCGCAGCAAACTCAGAAATCCAGTCCTGAGCGCTAGCAGGCTAAGCTAACAGGCTAACGCAGCAAAAGTACTGGCAAAGCTGGTCAAATGGCTCCCCCGCCACTGTGTGTTTGTGTTAATTCGGATATCCCAGCGTTCAATACATCCATACTGTCTGGTCCGATTGAACTTGCTCAATATTACCTGTGCTGTGTTGGAAAAAGAGCAGCCCCCTCCAAAAGGCGCAGTAAAATTTTGAGCGCTCGGCTTGTTCCTCCGCCTCAGTGGCAGCCTGATCGCAGCATCCTCTCACCGCAGCTGCTCAGGCAATCGCTGTTCACTCGAAAATGGCGCCGAAAAGATACACTCCTCATTCAAATTCGTTAGAGCCTCCCATTGCGCTCATTGGCTGGATGCAAAGTGAAGTCCGCGCCGCTCATTGGATGTTGAAAATGCACTCTCGAATGATCTCGGAGCCCACGCAGAGCAAACCAAGAGGAAACTTAACTCTTTACGTGCTCAGCGGGTTTCCATGTCAGTTTTCTCGTTTACGTTCACATTCACATTAATCCCAGCAAGCAAGTTCTGCCAATTGTAGCCTATCAATGAGGGATTGATACAAGTGCAAGAGCAGTAAGCTACACTAAACGCCTGTCGGCAGAAATGAGTTACAAACTAACAAGAGTTATAACTAGTTGTTTGGTCTGCTGCTGCTGATACAATGTAAAATTGTACATCTGTCTGCACACAAGCAGCAAAAGTGTATTAAATGGTTGAAATGTTGGAAAATATTGTGAAAACAGCTGAGGGACCTGAGGCTTTGCATCCAGAACTCAGAAAAACTTCTTCCCAAATAGGCCTTAACACATATGTTGGATTTCCATACTTCTTGAAGACATTGAACATTCACCTGACCTTAACCACAATAACTAATTAATAATAATAATGTCACAATAATAACTTTAATCTAATCCTACTTTTCACTTATTAGGTCTATAGCACTTTGAGATTTCTTTCCCCATACTGTGATAAATACACACCCACACAGGCATAATAGTTGAAACGAATCACTACACGTAACAAATTCATTCACCGTGACGTAAAAGGCTAAATTATTGCTTCATATTAAATGTGAATTTATTGCTTCACATTGCATTGAGCAAAATAAACCAGGGCAATGATTTCATCCTAATATATCTGCACAATAAAGTGGTAGAGTTCACCGGGCTGGGTTCATGTGACACCACAACACTAAGATGGAAAACAGGTCAGAATTATATGGTAGAATTGATCTTTTAATTATCTGATTGCAGAACTGTTGATCTTCTTTATGGTTAATAGGCTATGTATAATTATTGGACCAATCCACATTAAACAAAACTGGCATAAAGTTCAATGTCTTCTCTCACAGTATAGATAAACAAAAATAAAAGAGTGGTAACATTAGTCAAATCCAAAGATGTGATTCTCATCAGCTGAAAGTACTTTAAGCCATAATTATTATGATAAATATGGAACCAGTCTCACAAATAATGAGGTTCATCAGCTGTGGATGATAATTTTGGATATTTCACAAACAGAGAATCTCTCTTATATAGACACCTCCATCTGAAATTATGACATGTTCAAATTCTAGGATGAATGCAAACTATAGGGTAATATAAAACATAATCCAATATTGCATGCGATACTTTAGTGGCGTAGGCCTAAAGCGAGGCTCCTCATTGTGTATACATTCTGCAGTAATGTGCACAATGGGGCGGACAGGGAAAAAACACACTTGTTTACAGATAAACTGGTTTGGACAGGAAGCCAGTAAGGAGGAGCTCTGTGCTGTTAAACAGCCATGTGGAGAGGCAGGGATGAGCCAGCAAAAACGCCACAGTGACCATTGAGAAGACGGGGATGGCAAAGAGATATCAATAAATCCAGCAAGTTATATAATCTAGATAGAATGCAAACTCTGTTCAATGAAAAAGTGATGTATTTTCTTCATGACAACATATAAAGATCCATGTGAGACTAGTAAAGTGGTGCCAAACAGTAGTCAAGCGCAGCCCTGTGAATGCTATAGAGTTCATCGTGCATTGTGTCACCATCACATGAGCACACACTGCCTTCCATTAGGCAGGAGATCCTTATGACTCACGAAAACACAAGTCACATGTCACTACACAAATGAACCATGCTACTCAGGCTGCACTGCTATCCACACTTGGTTGTTTTGCAGGGCCAAATGAAATCACGTTATAATGCATGTCTTTATGAGGAGGTTTGAGACAGTGTGGGGCTCTCCCTTGTGTAGTGGATAGCCTGAACAAGAGCAGCCCTGTCATGATGCATGGCCACGACTAGCGAGCTAGTCTGGTTGCAAAGTTGTCATGGTGGGGTACTTTTGGTCCAGTATAATTTGATTTCATGTTAGATGGCGTGTGAACATGGTTGGCTGTTACACTCAGCTGCTTCTCATTCAGGGAGTTTTTACGGATTTTTCGTCTTTCTTCTTTTTCATGTGACTCGAAGCTTCACACCAGTGTCAGACATGGGACCACAGAACCTTAAAAGATGGAAAATCGACACTAGATCTCACCAACATTCAATTGGATCAGCAAGTGATCACAATGACAGCTACACACAGAGTTAATGGCGAAATAATAAATAATCAAATAATTAATACCTGTGCCACATAAACATCAACTCATTTATTTTTATCACCATTCCTCAAAGTTCACTTAACTTCTGTTTCTGCAAGCAATAGCAATCAATGTGTAGGCCTATAGCAACAAGATGTGTTACACAAAAGTATAGTAGAATATGCACACTTTATTAACATGGCCCACTCCTTGGCTGTGGTTTTTAAAGAATACAATGAGGCCCAGTGAGAACTTTGGAGAGAAAGCCTATCCATTGATGTCTCCTGGCCACCCCTCCCCCTCTCTCAGAGACATCTGTAGCAGCTGCCCCCTTGTGCTCCTGTCAGCGGGACAGAGTGTGTGTTTGCATGTGTGTATGAACAAGTTGAGGTGGGGTTGGCAGGGAGGTTAGCGTGGGGCGTGTTATAACACCTCCCCCTTTAAAGAGTGCAACCCGCACACTTGTGGGACATCACATTTATCAATGGCTAATAGTCACTAGCAGGTCACCCTGAAAATACTACAGCAACCTCTGACCTCTTTTTAGCACAAAGTGGTCATGTCAGGCCCTCTGTGCCCCACAGAAGCACATATGCAAACATACGTAAACAAGTCATATTTTAATATTCCAAAAGAATGGATTTATATTTTTAAATAAAACAAAACTTTTAAAATGTATGGGTGACTCCATCATAATCGTTTGTTTGGAAAAGTAAAACAGGAAAATAGATTATTGATTAAGGAAATACATTCAAAAATCAAGGCAAGCATTAGGCTATATATATCATTCTTTTTATTACCACAGATTTTCTCTTTTTTTGGAACTACTCTTACAACCGCTTGACAAAGAGCATTTGGTACCCTAAGTATTTACAATAATGGCCCCACAACAGTCTAAACTGTCTAAGATAAAGGCTTAATGGCTCAAGATCAAACTTCATATTTACCATAGGTCTATTCAGCAATATTTAGGCTATATCAGCCTGTGACTATGTGAATTCACAGAGGCAACTACTTTGCACTTATTTGTCATGTTTTTCATGACTCTTGTGTAGCCAAATAACAACAATTCATGGCTAGTTCTATAGACTCATATAAGCTAATAACAACATAATAAGCCCAGGTGCTCATTTAGCCTGAATGAGCCACAATTTAAAGTGAAAGAACTGACTTCAAGTTTCACAAACAAAACTCAGATCTCTTTTTTGTCCTGCTTCTGGACTACAAAATGACAATTCCTACGGAAGTCCCTCCCTCCATACTGCACTGTTGTATCTCGGTGATGTAACCACTTTCCAAATATAGCGTGTTGCTGATCGCTGTGCTGCCCTCGGATTGGCTGGAGCTGCTGTCGCTCGCCTGACGTCGCCCCGCCCGTGTTATTATTGTAAACAGCCCTCCTCGCCACCGACTCTGTGGGTCGAGCCGAGTACTCCATCCAACCCTTTGTTCGTGCAGTGAAAACACCGACACGACAAAGCAAGAGTGATAGTCCGCCCAAAACTGTGGCTGACACCTAAAAGAAAAGTTGAACACAACGCCCTCCACTAACCACATATTATTGAGATAAAACGATCGTGGTGTCGTGTCGAGGCTTGTTCCTCGCGCAGTGGGACGTTCTCTCGACCGGCGACTGGTCCGTGCTGCCGCATGAATAACAATAATAAACCGGGCGAGTTGTCAACGCTCGACACTGATGTTTTGCTTTACCCGCACATCCACATTAATTGACTTTCGAATTCACAAAAGAGTTTCAGAATGACAGGCAGTCTAACTCATAAACGCCAACACACAAAGTTGTCATATACAAAGACAACATCTATACATCGACGGCATCAGCCCACAATGAAAACACTCGGCCTTAAACAAATTTTCTCGCTCTTGAGTTCGACAGCACGAGCGCCAGCAAAGCGACTTTACATCCATCACCCAAATGAATTACTTTTTTCAGAATTACTACACGACAAACTAGTGACGAGATCATACGGCCAAAGTTACAAAGACTCCACTGACTTAAATGCCACTTACAGACTAGTGTTTTCCAGTGCATCTTTCGCTGTGTATGGATGTGTCGCTAGGAGTAGCCGGTCCGTTGGTGACAACCTCACCTCTTCGACAAATTCCATCCAGGGCAAGTTGACAACAAGCTTCCATCCATTCTCTTCCGAGTAAGTGCAGTTTCAGCAAAGCTTCAAGGAAGTTGTTTCTTTTGTTCCAGTGTTTTTTTTTTTTTTTTTTTTTTTTTTTTTTTTTGGTTGCGTCAATGTTGCGAAGGGGGGAGGCGGAGCGGTGGAGAGAGGAGAAAAACACACCAGAGCGCAGCGTAAAGCCACCACGTATAGTTCACACGGCTGTCCATTAACGGGCTGAAAACACCTCATCCAAATCCGCGATAAAGTCAGCCCAGCTCACGTGGCTACATCCCGGTCAAGAGGGAAGCTGCACTATCCAAGCTGATGAGGTCCGTGCGCTCCGTGCGTGCGTACGGCGCATTTGCATAGTCCAAGTGGGTTTTTGTAGTTTCACAAGTGTTGACAACAAGACGTATGAAAAACGAATCGCCCCTTTCTCATTAAAACTTGATTATTACACCAGTATCACCAAGCTTTGAGTGGTAACGCCTCACACTGGCTTCTACATCGTCGTCTTCACTTGGAGTACAAAGACGCGCTTTTCCGTAGAGTTCAGACGGATCCCTTTTCTTGACAGGTGACTCTCGTGTCTCTCGCAGATGT